GAAATCTAAACACAGATGACCTACAAGAGAAGGACAAAAATGTCCATTAGACAGGGACAGACAGACCAGATTGTATCAAGTATTTGTAACCCTTGGATAGGAGAGAAGGCCACCTGAGCGATGTGAACAGGGGGTTATGCTCCAGAACAGTTAGGGCCCAGGGCAAGAGCACCATCCAGGATAGAAGGGGGCAAACCACTGACGAATATGTGAAGCAAAAACTGCCACTTTTTAAAATCACATGATGAAACAGACCTTTTGACAGGGGAAGGCATGGTACCTAACATGAAATGCTTGCAATTCACAAGAACCTCTGATCAGACATCATCTGCTCAGAATTCAGGTGCTTTGCATGGGCAGGCACTCGCAGAGCTACTGCTGATAGGTCCTGGGCCCACAGGAACCCATAGCCCAGGCTCCTGCATTGGCACAGGTTTGCAGATAGATACTCCCCAGCATTGTACATGCAACCACACACCCACAACAGAACATGTTCATCAGAGATTAATAGACAAAATGATAAGAGTGATAAGTCTCCTGCTGTGCCTCCAATCATGCTGGATGCCTTGAGCTCTTATCTGTAATTTTCCTACTTTTAGGTACACAGAGTTTCATAGAATACTGCAGCGTCCAACCAGAGCATGCACCTAGTGTAGACATGCTCCTTACTTCTGGAGGAGTGGTTCTGACAGACGCAGCCTCTGCATTCCACCAGCCTGAAACAGAGCCAGCAGCACTGCTCCAGCTATGGGAGGAGGGCTCCTTCTAGATCCACTGAGGCCGCCATCCCAAAGCTGGTGTTCCCTGGCTCTTACCTCCTTCACCATACCACCCCCTACACCCATACATCTGATGCCCCCTTTCATTCTCAGTCTCACAATGACACTATTATGTTGGTGGTTTTAAGCTTGGCACACCTGGTAATGTGACTCCTAGAAATCTGCTCATAGGTCCCATTTTTGCTAAATGTATTGCAAGGGCTTAGACTTTGACAGATCTCACTGGAGGAAGAAGAGCAAATACTACTATTTTTATCCAAATACTAAGCAGACCACAGCAAGGATCTGACTTTAGGGTAGCTTGGTTGAATTTCTCCAGGTCTAGGGGACAAAGTATCTCATCAGCTTGCCCCTGTAGGTAGTCAGAGTCCTACAGCGCCAACAAGAAGCAGAAGGTGGGGAAACAAGGGGAAAGAGGCCTCCATGGGGTGAGGACAAGCAAGGATGACCCATCCCAATTCCCTCCACAGAATCACCAGGTAATCATCATTTCTAAGTAATGAGCCCTCTTGGAGACAGTCTCACAGAAAGAAGGACTCAGTCAGGGCTGAGCTCTTACTCCACACTTCAAAAAACAGCATCCTGAGGCCACTGCTTGGCTGTGATGCAAGTGACAAGGCTGCAGGACGCAGACCATGCATACCCAACCTTTCCAGGGTCTGGTCACCCACGTATCCTTTCCTCCATGCAGACACTGGGGACACTGAGTTCCTCAGCACGTGGGTTCAGTGTCTTCTCACACACCTGCTCGCTTCCACCCACATATTTCAGGTGAGTACGAGCACAGATACACGTTTCAGTCTTTCTAAATTATATTTATGGACTTTATTCATGATCAACTTGCAACAATACATAAAAGGGTTTTTACTTTAATGTCAATACATGGACTTACTAAGTTTAAATTTAAACTGCATTATTGATACTGTCCTAGTTCTCTGAGAGGGTCAACTCTCATCACCAGGACCAGATACAGGAAGTACTGAAGTTGCCTAAATACATCTGCTGGACTTTCCAGATGGTAATCGATCAGTGACAAAGAATCTGTCCTGCACAGCTCGGCCTCAGAACCTCCCAGGATGGCAGGTTCCCTGCAGAGGTAGCCCCGGCCTACCATCCAACACAATGGCCAGCTGCAGAACACACACCTGCCCTCTGTGTGGAAAGCATCAAAAGTATAGAAAAGTGCAAGAAACATGTCTAAAAGCACCTCCAAGCATTTTCCACAAACAGCAGTATTTTCTCCTAAGCACATCTACCTATTTTTAAAACAAATGACATCAATTATATATTCTTTCAGAACAAAGTAGTATATCTATATCTGTAACATCTGGAGAAATTTTTCATGAGTTTTTTTAGCCTTTTAACAATGTGTATTGACATCCAAAGAAATCTATGAAAATCAAACATCTAGTATTCAAGATTACCTGGATTACTTTTATGCTTAGAAAATGCTTCGGCAGCTCAAAGATCAGATTAATATTCACATCGAGTAATAACAACATATATTCGTTTTCCTATGAATATTTAAGTGGTATGTATTCATTGAGGAAAATTTACAAAATTCAGAAATTTGTGCAACAGAGATCAGCAGCAATTCCAGCTCTCAGAGACAAATGCTAAGGCTGAACTTCCCAAAGCCCTTAAATGCACATGTGCCACAGACCAGGCACACACATACTCACCTGCATTTCATGTCATACTATTTTCACATATACTGCCAGCTTTTTCATGTCATGAATCTTTTCTACGACACAAGTTGATGCCTAATGTTCTATTATGCTGTATAGTTATCATTAAGTCCTCTATTGTTGGGCATTTGGACTGTTTCCAATTGTGAATTATTTAAGCAATGCTATAATAAACATTTTCCATGTGTAAATATAACACTTATCTGACTGTCTTCTGAAGGCAAATTCATTAGAATTTTCAGCCAAAGTCGATAAATATTTTTGAAGTTTTTGATACACATGGACAAAGAGTCCTCCAAATGCCTCTGACAGTCAACCTCTCAGACACATGAGATGGCACCCTTGGTCTCTGATTTGTGACCACAACCCTACACTGTAAACCTTTAAAGACTCATGCCAGTAAGACAGTCTATGATGACACAGGTGCACTGTCCTCATCTGTGAACAGAGGCTCAGCACCCTTCCATGTTGATTAGTGAAATGCCTGCTCAGCACCTGACAGTGATATAACTGGGTGGAATCAGTGAGAGACAAGAGGTGTGCAGAAAGAAAGAGGCATCATTAATTTCTAGTCAAAATTTCAACAAATTTAGGTACACTGAAGAAAAAAAATGCTGGCATTTTTATATTAGAATAATTTTTAGATGGACCAAAGTATAATAGAATAAAATTGAACCAGGGTAGAACTCACTGTGATCTCAGTGTATAAAGATTTGTCTCCAGTTCTCTCACCAAAGTTAGACTCCATGAATACTCATGGACACTCTGGAGCCAACAGTTTAGACTCTCATCCTTCTCTTTGCAGTGATGGGGTGAATTGCCAAATAACTGCTTCCGTAACTTGAGGGAGGAAAAAATCACAGGGCCTGAAACATGGTGTCTGACCATAAAACAAAACATCTGGAGGCAGCCCAGATGGGTCTCCAGCCACACTGCAGCCATCTTTGCACTCAAAAGAATAAATGATCATTCTAGTTCCAAGTCTAAAACAGGAGCTCAAGCTGAACTCAAAGTCCAAATCATCTCAGAATGTGCAACCAAGTCTCCGATCTTATCAACTCACTGGTCTGACATGTGCAGCCTGCTTCCTATTGGTCTGAGATGCTACTGCTAACCTGTTTCAGGTTACCCACAGAGGCAAGGCAAGAGAGGCATCGGTATAACCACTGCAACCCTACGAAGGGAACCAAAGAGGTGATAGGGAACTAAAACTGTTGTGCAGATATCTTTCAAAGGTCTAGATGCAGTAATAAATTCTGTGAACACTGCTTTCTGCACGTTTTTACTGCATATGTGCTTAATAAGTCACTAATAAGAATATGTTGCTAACACTACTAAAACTGGTTTTTAAAAACTGATTAGTGGGGCTGGGGATGTGGCTCAAGCGGTAGCATGCTTGCCTGGCATGCATGGGATGCTGTGTTCGATCCTCAGCACCACATAAAAATTTAAAAAAATAAAGATGTTGTGTCCACCGAAAACTAAAAAATAAATATTAAAAAAAAATGATTAGTATGTGTATTTAACATATTGATCCCAGAATAAAGTACAAACAGCAGCGATATTCTTCCTATACAAACACCTGCTGTTTCCCACTGCTGGCTGCCTTTTCATGTCCATCTGGAGATGCCAAGTCCACAGTCACATGGTTGTTGCACAATGCCACTTTCTCTAGCCAACCTCGAGACACAGTGCGTGGGGACTCTGCCTGTGGAGGTTCTGGGGTCTGGTGATTGCTCAGCTCCAGATGTATTACCATGACTGTAGTTACACTAAAAACGTTTCCCTCTTCTGCTTCTAGAGTAACCTCTCTCTACCCATGCCCCTGTCCATTCCTCATTGTCAATCTCCCAGCGATGGCCTGGCTTGCACCCTCCCCTTGGTAGTCCCCACTTGCTCATGCCCATGTGGAGCTGACCCTCTCCACAGTCTTAGTCCCACAGCTACGTGCTAGGGCACCACAGGCTTGCCTATCTGGCCATGGCTGTGACACAAAGGCACATACTCACTCCCTGTATTCCACCTGTGTGTTTGACAAGAGAGAACTTCCACACACTTCCCCCTTTCAGGAGCCAGGCTCCAGACTACTTGCCTCTCACTAGCCCCACATTGTTCTCCCTTCCTCAGCTTTCTAGAATGTTTTGACATCACAATCAGCAGCCCTGCACTGCTGTTCTTTTCTAAAATTTGATGGCTACTTTTATACAAATTATTTCCTTGTGACATTTAAAAGCAGTTAATCAATCTCCATAAAATATCCTGTAGCAACCACATTCAGTTAAAAAAAATCATGTATAAAACATAGTAGGTAACCGACATCATTGGGAATGGCAGGGTAATGACCATCAATAGCTCTCCCCTCCATGAAATCAAAGAGAAAACTGGAAAAAAACGGTCATAATTAACTTTTAAGAACTCCGCAAATTAATCAAAAGGTTGCAGCAATCCAAGGGTCACCTGTTCAAGGAAAAAAAGACAAACAAACAAACTGAATCTTGGCAAAAATGGCAAGCTTTGTGGCACTGTCACTTACCCTGCTCCCATCCCCTTCTCCAGTTCCAGGAGAGCTCTGCAGTCAGGAGCAGCAGCCACAGCAGGGAGGGCAGAGCAGGGCTTCCTCCACAGCTCTGAGCACCTGCATTTGAAAGAGAAGGAGGATCAGTAAGCCAAATTCCCACCTTAAGGAACAAGAAAAACAGAGAAAAACCAATCCCATATCAAGCAGATTAAAGGAAATAGCAAACAGTAGAAAAAACAAGACCAAAAGCTGGCTCCTTGAAAAGAGCAACACTGAGAAACCTTTTTCCAGACTGAAAAAAGAGAAAGAGAAGACTCAACTAGGAATGAAAGCAGATGTTACTTTCAAATTTACAGAGAAAGTATTACAAGGAGACACTATGGGCAATTCACATCAACAAATTAGATAAACTAGATGAAGTGAACAAGTTCCTAGAAATTCGTACAAACTATAAACACTGACTCAAGAAAAAATAGAAAGCTGAATTAGTCATCAAAAAACTTTCCATAAGGAACCAGGTCCAGGATCAGGTTGCTTCACTGGTGAATTATGCCAAATGCTTAAAGAAGAATTGACATCAATCCCTCACTAACTGTCCCAAAATGCAAAGGAGGAAAGGATAAATCCCACCTCACTTCATGAGGCCCATGGTTCCCAGACACCAAAACCAGACAGAGATCTCAGAGGACAATTACAGACGAATATCTCTCGTGAACAGATGCACAACTTCACAACAAAATACCAAATCCATAAATACATGATAAAAAGGAATCACACACTATCACCGAATAGGATTTACAAAAAAAAAAAAAAAAGCAAGGTTGGTTTAGCTTTCAAAAGTCAATCAATGTGATATGTCATATTAAAGGAATAAAAGATAAAAGATAAAAATGCTTTTTTCCATTTTGTTGACTTCCATTCTTTTTTTTTTTTTTTTGATTACATGCAATGTAATTCCATTAAAAAATGTAGGAAAAAATGATCTAATTTATAGGGACAAAAAGCAGATCAGTGGTTGCTTGGGGCCAAGAGTCGGGTGGGAAATTGCCTGGGAAGAGACATAGGAAACCTTTCCCAGTGATGAAAATGTTCTGTTTGACTTCCATTCTTAACCTTCATTTCTTCTACTTTTTGCTAAGTTCTTAGACACTTAAATGATGGATCTACAGTCAAGCATTGCACAACTACAAGGCTTTTATTTATATTGTTAGAGTTGTTCAATTCTAGATATTTCCATTGGAACTTCCTCCTTAAATAGAATGCTTTTTCAGTGTTTTAAAATGTCTTATATAAAAGTCTTCTTTCTCTGTGCTTTTATTATTGAGTTCTGACTTAACTACTTTGATCAAAGAACATGGTCTGAGAGAATGTGCAACTTACTTTGTGACCAAATACACAGACAGATTTGGGGAGCGTTTTTTGTGCCTCAAGAGAATATGTGCACTATAGTTGGCCACATTTTTATATGGTGAAGACATAAAGCTCGATGTATTTACCTCTAAAATCATGAATACTTTTATTTTTGTGTGTGCACTTGACTTATTGATTACTAAAAAAGGAACATCAAAATACCTCACTTGATTGCAATGAGTTAAGTTTTTTGATTACTAATTCAATTCAGCCATTTTTCCTCTACATTCTAAACTTTAGTTATTACACATAGATAAATTCTCTATGTACTCTGAGGTTTGGCTATTAGCTAGTCGTATACCACCTATGGTGTCTTGGTCAAGGACAGACCACACATAATCAGGAAGCCCCTTCAAACTGTATTGCAGCTGCGATGAGCATGGTGGCATACCCCTGTAGTCCCAGCTGCTCAGGAGACTGAGGCACAGAGGCTTGAGCCTGAGAGTGGGAGACCAGCCTGGGAAACACAGCAAGACAAACAACAACAGATCATAATTGAGCTAAACAGTCCCTGGTTGGCAATTTGACAGCAGTGGCGATGCCACAGCCTAATGCCATGCTCATATGGTGGTGCTGGTCTAAACAAACCTGCTGCGGCCCACTGCATCCCAGTAGAGAACTCACCACTAGCTAAAGCACACAGTTCATACTGGCAATGACGATGCCTGTTTATTGTTTACCACGCTACACTTCAATCACTGTCTTAGAGCACATTCTTTCTGCTTGGAAAAAGCACAGCTTGTAGTACGGCTGCCTCAGCCAGCTCCCGGATTCCAGAAGGCTCTGTTATCACAGAGGATGATGGCTCCACACATGCCACTGCCCTGAAGACCTTCCAGCAGGACAAGAAGTGGAGGTAGAAGACTGTGACACTGATGATTGTGACCCTGCACAGGCCTACGCTAACATGATTGCTTCTCTTAGTTTTTAACAAATACTTAAAATTTTTTCTTTAAATTTAATTTAGAAATAGAAAAACATTTACAGAATAAGAATATAAAGAATATAAAATACTTTTTGCAATAAACACACAATATGCTTCTGTTTAAAGTGTTACTACAAAAGTATTAAAAGTTTTAAAAATTAAAGTTTATAAAGTAAAAAAGTCACAACAGGCAAAAAAAAAAAAAAAAAAAGCTTAATATCAAATGGAAAAAAAAAATCTTTTGCTGTAAAGTTAGTGTGGCCTAAATGGACAGTTTTACAAAGTCTACAGGCGTCTACAGCAATGTCCCACCACACACCAACTCACCCACAGCCACTTCCAGTCCTGCCAGCTCCACTCACGGCAAGTTCCCTTTAGAGCTGTGCCATCTGGATCTCCTCATGAGACTTCCACAGAAGCAGGCAAGAACAGGATTCACAGGACAAGGGTCTACCTATGACACAAGGGGAGCTTAAGCCTCTGCACACAGAAAACCTGTGTGGAGTGGACTGGCCACATGTCACATGGCTATACATCTTCCCTGTCACCCTCAGCAACATGGTGGGAATTAGGCAGACTCTTATCCCAGGGACCTGGGTGAATGGCCCAAAAGGAGAGGGCTCAGAGTCCTTCTGCCTGCGGTACACTTCCAACTCAGGGCCATGCAGGTGAAGCCCTCTAACAGGCTGCCAGCAGGGTCAGAGATGTAGGCACATCTTCAGGGTGCACTCATGGTGTGTATAAAGAAAGAAGGGACAGGCGTGCCAATGGCCTTAGTGCCAGGTAGGGTAGGGCCTTCCCTCTGCCCTCAGAAGGTAATCACTGGTGCAAGAGCTAACACTGCCACCTCCTGGGGAGAGCAGGAGAACTGAGTGGAGGACAAGCCTGTTTGGGCAAACCATGTGGGCAGCACTGGGCATGGAATCTGCAGACACGCAGGCCTGGCAGAGGGGAAGCAAGAGCAAGGTCAGAGACTCAGCCCACTCTGTCCAAACCAAAAGGAGAAGTGATCATCAAGTTGGAGGACAGAGACCTGGAAGGTGAGGCCATGGGGCTGGCTGGTAGGGTGTTTCTCAGAATGATCAAAGGAGGCCAAGGGCAGATTCTGAGCTATGGTGGCATGCTGAAATCTGGAACTATATTCCTAGTGGAAGTAACTTCCTAAATCTTGATAATACACTCATCCCAAAATTCCCATGTGGTTGTAGCAGCTGAGGACCTGTATGGTTCACTGCAAGGGCAGCAAGAGCCTACTATAAATTATACAAAAGAAGCAGCCTCCAAAAAAATGTGTAATCATAATGGGTAAGAAGAATATAGACCTCAAAAACAGCTCAAGCTAACAAGATGCTGACCACAAACCAACATTTCCATTGTCAGTGGGAGATATGTGGATAAGTCGTACAGTAACAAAAAGACAGAAGAGGGTCAGTTTTCAAAAATAGCTCAGATAAAAACCTGGCAGGGCTGGGATTGTGGCTCAGTGGTAGAGCGCTTGCCTAGCATGTGTGAGGCACTGATTTCAATTCTTAGTACTGCATATAAATAAACAAAATAAAGTCCATTGACAACTAAATATAAATATATATATATATATAAAAAACCTGGCAAAGTTAGTGAAGTATACACTAGAGCAAGGAAACACAACATCATACCTGTTAGAATTGCTAAAATCCAAAAAACTGAATCTAACAAGTGCTGGCAAGGATGTAGGAACACTCCTTCATCACACGTAGGGATGCAGAACAGCAAGGCACTTGGCAAGGCAGCTTGCTGGTTCTCTGTCATCTAACTGTGCTCTCACCAGACCACCTTCAGCTACACTCCCTGGTCTCACCCACACAGGTTGAAAACTTACATTCACACAAAGGCCTGCACACAAATGATTATAGCAGCTTTATTCAGACTGCCAAAAGCTACTGCCAAAAGCTAGAAGCAACCAAAATACTTTTCAATAGGTGAACAGATAGACAAGCTGGCACATTCATAGGACTGATACCATCAGTGATGAAAAGAAATGAGCTGTCAAGCTATGAAGACACAAAAGAATTGTAAGTGTATGTCACTAAGTAAAAGAAGCCAGTGTAGAGAACCTATTCCAACCTATTGGTCATTCCGGAAAAGGTAAAATAATAGTGATGGTAGCAGATCTGTGGTCATCAGGGCTCAGGGCAGGGTGAATGAGTAGAGCATGGGGGATTTTCTGGTGGTAAAAGTACCACCAGAAAATACGGTAATACTGTGGTTCCAGCTGTAAGACATAAAGCAGTTATCAAAATCCATAGAGATTTACAGCATAAAATATAAACCTTAATGTACACAATTTTTACAAAAAATCATTTAGGAAAGTGGAAGAATCCCAAGACAGTATGTGGAATGTGATGACACAGCCTAACTGCACTAAAGACATATGAAATGTCTCACTCAAGGGTGGGAAATAGGGAGCTCTGGAGTGGAGTGGAGTCTGCAATACGCAAGGCAGCAGAAAGCCCATGCAAGCACCACACTTCAGTTGGTGAAGCTGTCTCCAGGGAGAATGACTTAACAATCCCAACTCCGCTGTGTGTGTCCACCAGAACCCAACCATTAAAGAATTAAGTAGAAGGGTGGTGGATGATGGGAACCAACTGTCTTGTTTTGGGAGTGGGGGTTACACACAAGAACAGAGAGTCTAGAGTGACCCATGTGGCAATGAACTAGAAATGTCAGTATGAAATGATATTTAGCTTAACCTAGACACAGATGACTACAGGTAAGTATTTAGATATGTGCATTGTACAGG